GGATAGACTGGGCAATTTCTGACCGTGCGTTGTGGTGCAGCCAAATGGCACAACGGAGACATCCCATAGGTTATGCAATACAGCCACCAGTGGCGAGAAGTCGGTATGGTGTATTGGGCACTCCCATGTGGCAGAAGTTTAACCCCAACGGATCGCGACTTCTGACTGTCTAAGCCCACCCCTATTAGTCAAATCATTCTGAATTGTTGATGAGAAATCAGCTTTCAGAGGAAAAGGAACATGCGGAGATTGCCTTTTATATTTGCGCTGATCCACCCCGAAGGAAAAACCTAAGGAAATTCGAAGACTCCTTGGTGAGGTGCCATGGACCAATTCATCACTGAAAAGTCGATGCCTGAACTGTTGACAATTTTGACTCTTCAGAGAAGGATGTTACGATGAAATGGTGCAGAAGAAAGGAACTATGCATATTTAAAAAGGACGGCGGGCCCCCAAAGATGTGAGTAGAGACATGCGTTGCCGCGCAGGTAAACCGCAACCTGGCCAGCGCCACCTGCCGTGGTCCGGCCCGGTCCACGGCAGCTCCATGGAAAGGCCCAGCTGTGGCGTGGACGCGAGCACTTGCTGGGGTCGTTACGTCACGACTGCGGCAGGCTCGTTGAGGGACAGCAGTGGCCAGTGCTGTTGCCACTTCATTCAAATAGTACTGGCGTTTCTCGCACTGTAGCAACTTGTTCGATCAGTTGCGCGGCGAGCGAAATTCCTGTGTTACGTACAGCTACCATCCTCAAACTAAGAATGGAATCTTTGAAAATGTAGAGGGAAGTCAAGGCTTCCATGTGAACCCTCCTTATTGAGTCATTTCTACTTATTACGAGTTAATTGAGAGCACAATAGTTGCTAGAGTCCCCAACGTTTGCAGCTCGTTCCCTCGCCGCCGCTGTGACGTCACAATGACGTCACTAGTACGCGAAGCGCGTCCGTGTCGACGACGCTTCTCCGTGGAGCTGCCCGGCAGGGCCAATACTGGCTGGCTTGGGGCGCGATCGATTGATGGGATGCCCTCTGCGAACGTCGATAATATGATCTACCGTCAAATCTCGCCCAGGGGAAATCATGTGGGGGAAATGGGTCCAACTTTGCGGGTTTTGAGCCGTTCTACCTCGGATTTCTCGTGACCGTGCATCTTTCACTGCCTCCCGCTTTCACCTCCAATTTTGCAACGGTGCAACGGGTGGCTCTATACAAGTGGGGTGGGCACGCCCAGCTTTTCACGCATGTCAAGTGACTGCCCACCCCCTAGATTGGCTACACTCCCCCTGGCTCACGAATTCCCCGATTCTCGTGACAGTATAGTAGCGGGCAGCAGTCCCACTTACATACATTTCTGTTCAAAAAATGCGGCGTGCCCACCCTACTTGTATAGCACCCAACCAATCCTTCCTTACAATCCTCCTTGCGCCAGAAGGTAGAAGATACTGGTAGAGTTCAT